CCCGCGGAAAGCCCCCCCCCCCCCCCCGCGTCGGGCCCGGCAAGGCCAATGGAACTACTGACTTATGGCAACAATCAGTCATATCAGTGTATTATTCTTATTTTCCTCCCCTGACAAATCCTGGGTGAGTGAGCAACTCTTTTTTTTTTTTTTTTTTTTTGGCAGTTTTAGCTGCTTCATAAATTTATTGCTTGGATTCACTCTTTTTTTCCAGTTTTGTTGAATCATTTGCACAAGCAAAAGTGATTATCGGTCACAAAAAAGTAAAATGCTCCTATATTTGGTATTCACAGTTATTGTCATATGAGGCAGACAGAGTTACTCAACAGTGTTATGTAGAAAATGAAATTCTCCTCCCACTGCCTGTTAAAAAACCACAACAAATATTTTCTGGAAATACTGTGATATTCAGAAAGGTTAAATGTGGCACAGAAAAAAACCTAACAAAATCAACAAGAACCTGTAATGCCATTGACGTGTGAACAGTAAGTACAAATAGAAATGTTTCAACAACTTATCATCAATCAGAAAACTGTATTTTTTCCACATGATGTACATAAATGATACCGTATTATCTCTGTTCTGGTTATGTAACCTAGATGCACAGAAATTAGATTAGCTTTTCTTGAAACTATCATTCTTCTGAATCAGTTTTTCTTGTTTGAAATCTGCTTTTCTTCAAAATGTGTTTTTTTCCTCACATGGCAGACAAAATCTGTGGAAATGGGTTTTCCTCAGACCTCAGCATACACCATTGAGCATCTATCTATATATTCTTATTAGTAATGGTATTAACTGCAGGATACTTTCAGTGTTTAAAATATCATTTAGTTAGTACTACACTGTTTGTTGTTCACGATGAACTAAATGAAAGTATCTATGAAATCCTTCTTATTGCAGCTTATGCCACAAATGGTTTTATTCATCTGAGAACATTTTTACAGGACTAGCCCCACAATGAGCCTTACTAAAAGTATGCAAACAAAGTGCTTACAGCTTCCAGAATAGCCCTTGAATCTGAAATTCTCCCAGTTGTAAGCCAACAACTGAGAAGTTTCCTAAAAATACATGTTGTACCACATTGGCAAATCTTTCACACAGCAGCAGCTGGCTACTGGGAGATGCGAGTCTCCAGCTCTAGCAGTGGTTCATGCGATCCAGTGTTTGCACAAAGAGCCAGCACACTGACTCTGTAAAACAGAAGAAAATCTCCACAGTCCCTGTGCACTAAGTCAATGGTCTTTCTAAAACTTCCGCTACCAAGAACATACCCATGTTAAGCCAACATGGTTCAATGGTAAGTAGTACTGTAGCTGTAAAGAAACATGGCCAAGAATACTGTTTAACCATATACAGGGCTCCTGCAGTCCAGCCGCTAGAGAAAACTCTCACTCGAGAAGGTGGTTTTTACCCTTGTCTCTTCTTAAAGATTGTTAAACAATTAGTAGCTTGCAGTTTGCTAACTATTCAAAGGCAGTTTTAATATACAGGTACTTCCAACCAACGGTCTTCCCAGATCTTTTAATGCTCAGGTTTTTACTATGCCAAAGAGCCTAATAAGTACAAAGATAATGGTTTTTTTTAGTTATCCATTTGAATAGGCAAGCACCATAAGCACTTCTGTAACATCCATCATGACGGTACTTCTGCATGTTATGTTAATTAGCCCTTGTATTCAGTCATTTACAACCTATACACAGAGTGGAAACCAGGACAACATTCCTTGCAACATGTTATCCACTATTATTTATTGTACAGGGAATAGGTCTTCCATGTGGAATCGAGAAGAACAAGGGTACATGCCCAGGTCATCAGAGGCCAAGCACCTACACAGCATACTGTTTTCAAAGAATGGTACTTATGTTGATCCCTAGTTTCTGAATTTTCTACCTACACCGATTTATTTTTCTTTCTGATTATTATCATGCAAATCTCACAGACAAGGTGGTACCATTAAGGACCTGATTTGCAGTTGTAAAGATCGGAAAATGGCATTTGATCTTCTCAGATGAAAAGCACTTTTTGAAATGGTACCTGAAGATGCCGCTGGACATTACTGAAATTTGATAGGCATCTGTATGTCTTAACTCCCCTTATTGTCCTTTGGAGTAAGTGCACAATGGTTTTAACAATAGTGGTAGACGACTAGGTATTTCTGTAAAACCTGGCCCCAAGAAAACAGAAAAAGTTTATATTTCTTCCTTTACTATTGTCCAGTTCTGGACTCTCAGCAGGCAAGCATCCCATTAGTTTCCTGTACTTCAATTTTTAAAAACGAATTGATTGCTAATTAAAAGCCAACTTAAAAGTAAGAATCTTTAAGAAGTACGTTCCTTAGGGATGCACAATTCACTGTGCAAGTCATAGTAGCTGGAATGATGAAAAGCATTTAAGATGCTGGAACTCACTCTTGACCTGTTGAAAGGCCACAGTTATTCTTCCTGCTTGCTACTCTATTTCATTGCTAGAAATAACATACAGAAGGTTTCGTATTCATGGATCATATGGCACTCACATACTTCCACCATGTGCCAACATACATAAAGATAGCCACTACACAGCTAGTCATGTGCTGCTCTGAGTTTCAAAGTCAGGGGATTTTCTTTCCCACCTGAAAACTATATTTGGCACCACAGCAAGCGGAAACTATTATCAGTTTGTCCAAAACAAACTTCTGAGGCTGATGGGCACAGCACCTATCAATACTGCAGGTCATAGGACAAAAATTAAATGAAGTGATCACATGTTGTTGACTCAGTTAAACAGCACAGAGTCCACAGAAATTATAGAACAAGATAAACTTAAATCATAAAGGAGGTGGACATGGTCTTGAACATCAAGACAAACAAAAAATCCCAACAGAGCTTAACTGTTAGGTAGAAAAACTTTAAAGGTAGGAGATAATAGAGCTAAGTCATTCCTGATTTCTCCATTCTAGGTAACACAGTAGACCCAGGGATGTGTCTAACCCATGTGTGCCAGTCTTGATCTTACATGTAAAAGCAAGCACTGCGACGACTTACACAGTCCTCTTAACAACATAGTTAACAGGATTTAGGTGAGAACAGGATGTGACTTCTGTGAACTACAGGAGTGTAAGAGTGTAAGATTTATCATAAAGGCAACTTCCAAATTCCACTGAAACAAAATTACATCTTCTTCCACTTTCTCCTTCCCTCAGGGGCCAGTGTGAAACACTCTGCAGGTAGGAATAAGACTGCTGAGAGCCGTGACAGGAGGTGGCCATTGCCTGATGACCCTGCTTATGGCTAATATAATGTCTATAGGTTTTGCTGTGATTATGATTGGAAATATATTTTCAAAAATAAGTCCATGCACTTGGTATCTAAATAAGTTTCCGATCTTCCTTTGGGAAAGAGTTCCATAGTTTCATTGCCTGATGTAAGTATTTCCTTTTATCAGTTTTATTTGCTTCTTTTCAGTTTATAGAATCATACAATCACAGAATGGTTCAGGTTGGAAGGGGCCTTTAAAAGGTCAGCTAGTCCAACCCCCCTGCCATGAGCAAGGACACCTTCCACTAGACCAGGTTGCTCCAAGGCCCATCCAACCTGGCCGTGAACACTGCCAGGGATGGGGCAGCCACAACCTCTCTGGGCAACCTGCTCCAGTGCCTCACCACCCTTATCATAAAGAATTTCTTCCTTACATCTAATCTAAATCTACCCTCCTTCAGTTTAAAGCCATTACCCCTTGTCCTATCACTACATGCCCTTGTAAAAAGTCCCTCTCCATCTTTCGTGTAGGCTCTCTTTAGGTACCTGAACATCATTTTTACCTGTTCACCAACTTATTTTCACCCATTTTTGTATTATAAGATGAAAATACCCCAAGGATTTAATTTCTTTACCTCAAGTTTATATTGTTAACAGTCAATTTCCCATGTTTGAAATTTCCTCTATCCATAGTGCACCCTTAGATATAAATATATTACTTCCTTACTTCATTACTTCATTAGTGATGTACTGTTATGGAACAACTACAAACAAACAAAAAAATCACTTCCAGAGCAAATGAATTTTATAGGTCTGTGGAAAGAAAGCTCTAATAATTTTTCTCTGTAAAACTCAACAGACACGAAAAATTTTGCAAGTGTCTTAGTCCAACTAATTTGTTCTGAAAGTATTTGCAAGCCAATTCAAAAAGTCAGACATCATTTTGTGTGCATGGATACTAGAAGAAAAAGTCCTATGACTTACCTGCACAGCCCAGAGGTAGTCCAGACGCAGCTTCAAGTCCACCTGTCTGGAATGCAGTGCCAAAGCACAAGAAAATAGCAAAATGGCTAGTATTGGTTCATAGCCACGCATATAAAAGGAGCCACCCCTTAAAAATAAAAGGAAAGTAAATGGGTTATTCCAGGTTTTCTAATACCTAACACTACGTATTTTTGTATCAGATCTTTAGTTTAGAAGATGTGGGTACCCCCTATCCACTAGTCTTTTCTGAAGAGGCTCCTGTGGGCAGGGAGAAGGGTGACAGTAAATCTGATCACTGCATCACACCAACATTCAACTTCTTGAGGATTTTATAATGTTATACATTATTGTAATATGTGTGCAAGCTTTTGATTAGGAAATATAAAAACACTCAAAAGCTTAAATGAAATTGGAATTGGTTGAGGGCTGCTGAAATATGGAAGTGAAGTTTTTAACTGTGTTTTTCTGTTTCATATTATAATTAGACTGCAGTGTATTCAGCTGAGGTATGTTAGCATAAAACTACAGAATAATGGGGCAACAGTTGCTAGTTCCCAAAAGCTGATTTCCTGTTGGTGGTTATTACTACATCCAAAATTGCTGGGGAGAGGATGGCTTAAGTATTTCTTATGCTCTGCTGAGTACATATCCCTAAGCAGCACTGAATGCTAGAGGACAATTTACAGATGAGTAGTCAATGTCATGACTATCTATACAGAAATACCCGTTGTTTTAACTTTGCAAGATACCTACCCCACTGCTTTTCTGTAACCACTGAGTTCCAGAATAACTATGTACAAAATTGTAACAAAAAGCAGGAGAATCATTTTTGGCAAGGAAGATACACGTAGAAATATTGCCAGGGTGAGAGTCCCCACCACACAGGAAAGGAAAGCGTAGTGGGCTGTGTCACATGGAAGTTCATTCATTGTTTTATTTGTTCCACCAGGAGAAATGATCACTATTGAACTGCTGGAATTGGTATTCCAAACCCAAGGCATACAGCCAACCTAGAAAAGACAGGAGAGGCAAGAAGGTGAGAAAGTCAAATATGAAATAATCAGAAATACAGCTGCTATGGGGGCTGACTGTAGTTAGTTTCTAATGGGAAAAATATGGCCGTGGAGTTCCCATCCAGCTCACTGCTCTAATAAAATCTCTCTCCTTTTCCTGTAACGCTTTGCTGAGTTTTAGGTGGGAGACACCCTTTGTTCATTATATGCCAGTAAGGCCAACCAATTAAAGTCTGGGCTTAGTTGAATAGTCTCGCTCTCAGTGCTCAAAACCAAGAGATTCTCAAGCCAACGTTATTTCTGCAAAATTAAGGAACTTCAGTAACCATTTTATGGCCATGCAGGTGAGAAAGGTTCTTGCACAGAGCACAGAAATAAATGTGTTTGTTTTATTGACTGTGTAAACTGTATCAATTTCAATTAATCAAATATAAAATAAAACATAATTTAATCTTTTATTGAAGAGCTAAACATGAATAAAATCTTTTCTTCACCTCCGAGCTAATTCTGCTATCACATATGATTCAAATACAAGGCCTCATCTTTAATTATCTCTGCCATTTCTGTTATCCAAGGAGTTCCATTTCCTCCCTAGACTGGGAAATAAAAAAATGTTTTAGTGCATTTCTTATGGGAAATTTGAGGAAATTTAACTTGCTTCTTCCAAAGGCAATGTCATGTACACATCTCAGAGCTGTTACCCAAGGAAAGAAGGAATTTCTGGCAAATAGTGCAAGTCCCTAGAGCTCCAGTCCTAATTGCACTGCAACCTTCACCCCTTATGAAGGGAGAGGATAAGAGTTAGCATAAACGGGGAGAGTGGGATGGTAGCGTGAAATTGATTTTAACAGGCACTGGCACATAAGCCCTGCCCTGTACTTAAGCTTCTCTTTTGAAGTGTGTTATTAGACCTTTTTATTTCATCCTAACCACTGATAATGAAACTTTATAGCATGCTGTAAAATAACTGACAACCTGAAAGGTGATTAAGCAATATATTTTACAGGGGGTCGTAGTCATTTAAAAAGATGAGACATAACAGATAAAATGTGAGTTAAACTCATAATGGCTACATTATGAAATGAGATGAGAAAGAGTGAAGTGAAAAATCCGTTTAATGTGATTTTTTTTCAATATCCTTAAAAATGCTGTTCATACTAAACTCATCCAAAAACATAGGTATGCATGAGGGCTTCATAAATGATGTGCAATCCATCTAGGAAAACACCATCTGCTCTACAACTAAGAGTGAAACCTCAACACCTAGCTCCTCTGCTAGCTGAGAATTCTAGAGGCATTACTTTGCAGGAACTAATCATTTCTACTGATTAAACATTTCTCCTAAGCATTTCAATGGTTACAGGCTATTTTTGCATCAATAAAGGATAAAGTTATATATGTGACCTTTTCTAAGTTGTAACTGAATGATCACCGCCTTGTTGGAGGCCAGAATTCTGAATTCGAATCTGCCTTCTTCCACTGATGTTCAACTTTGCCTTAGGCCTTACAATGTCTGTTTCTCATTTTCACTGTCTTTAAGTGGCAACAATGGTGCTTTTTTCATTTGGTCAAAGTAAGTGTCAGATCTATGGGGGCTGATCCACAAAGGTTCCAGCTGTCATAATATTTGTCTCAATCCTAAAGTCACATACACAGAACTTGCTGAGATACTAGCTAGCCTGGAGGCACTGCACATCTGTATGCATTCTGGGCTATATGCACGTTAAGAACCACATACATGTACGTGTGCTATTAGGGCTGTGTGTTACTCACACAGCTGATGTTCAGGAATTCCCAGAAATGTCTGAACATCAGTAATTCTTGGTACCTCTCAGGACATTGGAATTCGCAGACGAGGGATCCTCTGCCTATTCAGTTCATGGGGATCAGCTTGGTAGATGTTCTCAGGGCAGGGCCAGGGATGAGTGAATACAGAAAATACAAAATAAGGGGCTTGGCATCTCAGTTAGCGCTGTGAATTGCTCATGAAATCACTGTCTTCCTATTGGTCAGAACACATTGCCTAAATCCCGCAGAGAGGCATGATTTGAGACATCTGCCTCCTCAGCATTTCCAGTTGTGTTCAGTGTGCTATTTTTGTGTGGATTCTTTCCTCTGGGTGCCCTAACATGTTTAATTCATTAGCATTAGCAGCCAAAATGCTGAAATTGAGTGCTAGGAATTTGACAAGGCAACTAAATGCCAAATACTTGAGTGGAAGTTTAAATCCCATTTGACATTCAAGTCCACCATGCAGAACTAGCTGCTAATCTACAGTAAAAGAAGCTCAATTTTCAGAAGTATTGATCAAGTTCACTTCATACAAGAGAAACTTCCTAGACATTAGATGTGAATGGATCATGTAAGTAGCACAGTGTAAGCACCTTTTCTTGTTATGCAATACTGCCCATATTTTAAGATCTCGTTACCTTTTCTGATCTGCCTGGACTAAAAATATCCCCCTGTTATTACGCAGAAATATGTTCTCTAAGTTGCCACACAGAAATAAGTAATGTTGTTTGACACCATGCCTTGTCTGTCACAAAATATTAGCCATTGAACTAGTAAGCAAGTTGAACATTTAAAAATAGTTTTCCCATGAAGTATATGACATCAGCAGACTATGTGATACTAAGGTTTGATATAAAAATTTCTATAGGAGTTGACTAGGTATTATTTGTGTAATTTGCTAATAGCTTTGCCATTAATAATTCAACACCCTGACTCAGGGCAGTGAAAGTTCAAATTCTAGCAAAGGGCTTTAATTTTGAAGAAACATGCTCTGCAAGTATGAATAATAAAAAGAGTAGGAATTCACCAGATGAGACTATGGTATGTGTTTAAGAGATCTGTACCAGGTTGTTCTTTAGACAGAATGCTAAATTAAGTGATGCTTGATTTAAATACTCACCACACATCCTTGAGCGACGGAGTATATTAAGATCACAATAAAAATACACAAAATGGTACGAATTTGTATTGTCAGGCACCCTGGAAAACACTAAGGAAGAAAAAAAATTATAGGTAAAGATTTAAAAATATTTTTTAAAGTGGGGTTGTTATTTTTTAGTAGTCTATAAAAGGAAGCGGATAAGGGATACAGACATTTTGCCTGCACTGCAAATTATAAAACAAGCATGCAGTTATTATTGTGTACATGTGTTTTAATGGTAATTGCATTTTTGGGGGTAATAAATGTGAAATTATTATTACTATACATTATTTCTCACTATAATTAAAACTCTTTGAAAGGTTAGTAGGATGTCTGCTCATAATGCAAATAATAAATTAGGATGGCATTTGATTTTGTTCTCATGGGGAAAATACCCAAAGCATTTTTTGCCTTGCAAATCATCAGCTACAAATAGTGATCCAAGAGAACATACTGTGGTAGCACAGAATTTTGGAGTGGTATTTGTGTCTCCTGTTATAATAGTAATGTTAAATGCCAGGGTAGTTTTAATTATCAGGACTCATGAAAAATACTGAATTTGTCACAGCAGAAAGAGCAGTAGAGAACAAAAACGTCTGGTGGAATGGAGTCTTGTGAATGTCTTGCTCATCTCCATTTTTACCCTGATTCCATCACTGTGAAGTGTGAAGTGCTTGCTGCTGTGAGCACACATGAAGCCAGTGACAGAAGGTGAGAGAGGAAGGATAAGTCTGTCAGGCTCTAGTACTTATGCTTGTTCCAGTCATAATGATCTACTCTGGTTCCAGGGAAAGCTGCTTTCCTTCTTCTCCCCTTGCGTTAAGAATGTTTGGGGCATCTATTATCTACTAGATCCACGATACATCTTTCAGACCACAGGAATTCTTCCAGTGACTTCAAGGGGCAAGAATCAACTCCAGGAAACAATCAGATTTAAAGTGGGAACAATCCTGTGTCCCTTAAAAGAGGGGGCTCAGACTTATCAAGGCTGGATTTGATTTAAGATCAAATGGAGCAAGCAAACACCTAATTTTTGGATGAAAGTCACCAGTCCTGAAGAAAAGCTGTTCACTTCATGGGTATCATCGACATCAAAAGCATAGCTTCTGGCAGGCAGCAAAGTACCCGTAGAGAGGGGTTTCTGTGGCCTTGGCACAACAAAAATCACACATTGACACTCCTCCCCTTCCTTTCACATATGCAGAGACATTTCCCGTGTGTGTGACCACGAATTAAAAGTTTGAGGTAGTTATAGGTGAATCGACTTCATCTGGGCTGTGAAACATGCAATACAGCAATTACAGAAACATGTGTGATCTGCAAATACTGGCTTCAGTATGGATTAAGTCAATGTAAATGTAGGTGGGGAACAACCAGCGTAATATCAATAGATTTATATAAGCATATCATGGACCTGAGATAATTTGTTACACCAGAAACCAGTTTAACTATTAGTCAGCATCAGCAAAATATATCAGGATACCTGAGGTATATCATCTTTAATAAAATAGTGAGCATATTGTAGAACAAAAACCTCGAATTCTAAGAATCTCACATTGAAAAGCTGTGTCTCAAGGGAGGGGATACAGCACTGTCCAAAATTACACTACGAAAAAAGAGATAGACTATTTCTGCATTTATTCATCACTATCATACAGTTGAGGTTGGGAGGGACCTCAAGGGGCCCAAAAGTACTGTCTGCCTTGACCCCCAGGCCATTTTTGCACAGCTGGTCGGTCCCCAGCCTGTGTCATTGCAGAGGGTTCTTCTTTCTCAGGGCCTGGTCTGAGCATTTACCCATGATGTATTTTGTAAGATTCCTGTTGGCCCATTCTGCCAATCTATCTAGGTCCCCCTCAGTGGTCATCCTGCCAGTGTGTTGGCTGTTGCCCTGAAATCAGAGTCACCTGAAAACTTATGAGTATACTCCATGTCCTTCTCCAGGTCGTTGATAAAAATGTTCAACAGGACAGGTCCCAGGATAAAGTCCTGTGGTACCCCACTTATTACTGTCTTCCAGGTAGAGTATGACCATAAATTGCTATGCTCTGAATTGAGCATCCAGACGGTTTTCTACCCATCAAGTTGTCCACCCAACTAGATCAAAATCCTATGCACACAAGGTGGAACATGTGTGGTTTTATCCATATAAATAAAATACAAAATAATGATACTATGTATATGTGTATATATATATTCCATTAATTCAGTCTGCAACCAAGTAAGTTATCTACTGCTTGTTACAGAGAGAATCCCCGTAGTTCAAAGGTAATGCTGCACGGTTAATAGTGACAAAGCAAAATGCAGATTCAAAGACAGTGTGTCCTGACACATTGCACAGACACTCTTTTTTGTGTGTGTGGTATGTATATGTTCTAAATGTTGACATGCTAGGCTATTGTGTTAAAAAGGAAAATAAACCTTTAGAAGGTATGAGACATGTCTGAATTAAAACTCTGACTGACACTTAAATGGTTTATACTTCTCACTTTTGGTCATTCTAAGATTGCATCTGCTCTTTTATGATAGCAGAGCATTTTGGGCTTTATTTTCTTTGTTTTCTTTCATTTCTGGAATTTTTATTAACTAAACAAGTACTGTCAGATCCCCCAAATGCTAGGTAACTGGTATAGTAAAACATTATTATAGTGGTTTTATGAGTGAGGCCTTTAATGCTAAGGCATGGAGAAGTTGAGTCACTTGTCCAGTGTAAAATAGCAAATAAGTGCCAGAAGACTGATTAAAATAGGGGAATGACTGGTTTACAATTCTGTATTAATTATATGTAGAATATTCATTATCTTTTATTTATTATATAAGACAAATTTTCACCACAAAATGTCAAACTGTGATATTCTGAGGTTTTATATTTCTTTATTTTTCTAATGCTGGATTTGATCCTGTAAGGTACTGAATCTCTAGAGGAACCTGGAATAAGTTCAAATGCTGTTGACTGCCAAAACAGCTGGAACAAACCTTAAGTTTGCGCTAGCCCCAGGGAAGTGGCATAAAGAGGAGCAATTTCCTCCAAACTTCATCTGTGTTTCTACCGTCCATAGACAGAACAACAGATGATAAATTACTGTGCCTTTATGAAACAAAAGAGATCATCAAAATTACTCCCAAATAATTGTGTAAGTTTGTAAATAAAGATCTGCTCTGTACCAGATAGTCTGCTAATATACTATTTATGTTTCCATGAAAACAATTACTTTCCTCCTGCCAAAGGGCATTTTTTCTTAACTAAAAATTAGTGTGTGCTAATCAGCAAAGCTGATTAACTGTGTAGGTGTTTTCTCCTGATATTTGTCTGAAAAGACTAAATTTAGATTAAGCCACTATAGATTTTTTTCATCAGAATATTAGTCTGTAGATGTTTTATTCTGATCTGGAAGACCTAGTTCTCTCCTCCAACAACCAAATGTCCTTCTGCATCATTACTGTTGTGAAAATGTAATGCAGGAGAATTAATCATTACTAAAGGTTTTGAAAAGGCCAAGGGTTGCGTGTACAAAACATTGTGCTTTACCATCAAAACAGCTGCTGCTTTGGCAGGAAAAGTTTTGAAAACAGAGGGGAAGTTAGCAGGACTTTACACCCAGATACCAGTTGGAATGGAAGGGAGAATTGGTGTACTCTGTAGTCAGAAAGGAGAAAAAGTCAGGTTAAAGCAGCTGTTTATCTGAGCACTGGAATGATTCAGTAGCTAGTGATAGGTGTTCAGGGAAGACGTAGCAAAAAAGACAAAAAGCATAGCATTAATGGCACTGAATGCTACACTGCTGTAATGATCACTCATGTAAAAAGTCTACTTTCGGGTGAACCATCTTCGGTTTTGAAGTGCCTAATACATTATTTAGCAATGAACTTGAAAAGCACAGATTTCAGACTGTATGACTGTGTGAAGCATGCACTTATGGCTTCATATTCCAAAGGACAAACGAAGCATAGCCACCAAAAGGAAGAATAGTCATAAAATCTTGAATCACTTACTTGTACTCGTGTGACATGTAGGTACATAATACAAGCCACTAGGAAGCATATGCAGAACACCAGGAGAACAAGAACTATGGTACTCCTAGAAACAAAACACAGTAGAAGTAAAGCAATGCAACTCAGTAGCAGATGAGAACAAACAGCACAGGGGTCCTTCTGAAATGGTATTTTGAATGAATGGTGGAGGATCACCCCCTCACCCTTGCTGTAATGCTAACCGTTGCAGAGGAAATTTCACAGTGAAATGCACCGCTCTCAAGAATGAGAAATCAGTAAATGCTCTTATATAAGGTACCTACTCTGACCTCAGCAAGATCAAAGCACCTCAAAAATTCAACTGTATGGTATGTTAGGAGAGACACTTTCTAATTGTAGGCTAATGCAGAATATTCAGCATGATGACTCTTGCAAGTGGAGTGTGTAACCCAATTACTTGGCCTTGACAGCTGTGTAACAGTTACCAGATGCTTTTCTCTTCTAATCTCTCCTCAAAGATTCAGAAATCAGAGGTCAGTCAACTTAGTCACTTATCAAGCCAAATAAAATCAGATCAGACTGCAATCCCTTCTTCTAATGAAACAGAGCAACTCCTTCCTTTTGAGTCTTCCTCAATGGTTAGAAAAATCTTAGGTTTCACAAAGACGCTGTAATAATTCTTTTAATTCTTAATCTTCCCTCTCCTGATCTTTCAAAATAGGCTTGTTCTTCATAAGAAGAGAGGTGCAGGCCAAGCACTTCCCTCCTCCAGAAAACCCATGTTATTGGAACGATACCTTATGGATGTGAGCAAGCTGGTGCTTTGATTTACACTCAGGGACAGCCTGGCCCCAAGCCAGCCATGCAACCAGGGCCATGTGACAGCAGCATTAACATGATCTTCACACCTTCTTTTCTAGCCTTGTGAGAACAACCCAGCCAGTCCAGAAGATGTGAGCCATGGCTGCAGGCGTATATGTATCTCTGCCCTTGACCATCACTGGGGAAAGATTGCTTATATAGGGTTTCTAACAGTAGAAGAGTGCAATTCTGCTGTAGAATTTCTCAGTATTTGGCTTTGATTTCAAATTCATGTAACAATTCCCACCAATACACAAACAGCGAAAATTCTGTGGTGTAGTATGTGTATCCAGAACGGGGAGGTGACTAGATGCTCTCAGTGTGGATTCTGAATATACGCATTAATAGACAGCAAGACTCTCCTGTGATTTAGAGAATTGGCTTGTATTCAGGATGGTAGTATGCTAGAAAAAAATGCAGGGGACATGATTGCGACACCATCTTTTAAGGCAGCAACAGCCAGCAACTGACACTAGTGCTGAGTGGCAGAGATTTGGGTTGGCACCAGTAACAAAGGGCTACATTGTTTTTTAAAAATAAACCCAGCATAAGACATCAGAAAGATTCATCATCAGGGCTTTTAGTGGCTACACTGCATGTGTGCCTCCATAATTGGACAGCTTAGGTTGACAGGAACATAGCCTTACTTTCACCAACTCCATCTGGGGATATAAAATATGTCTTTAGCTGAGAAGCTGTTTTGCTCAGATGGTCATAGGAATTGTGAGAATGTCAAACCCGTTGCTTTCTGTGTATTTATGCAGCAACTGGCTTTCTTACAACATTTTCTTGTCTCTAGATTTTGAACCCCCTCCTTGGAATATTGTGATACATGTCAAACACTATTATTATCGCTTCTCCCATTATAGTAACACATTACACATCTTGTCTTGGCTTTTGCATTCTCTTGTCATGCTTACAACTACTTTGGCAATCTAAAGAGCAACTTAAAGCTCCAAGTTCAGTTGAGAGGGGAAATTTTCCAGTACTTCCAAAGTTTTAGGCTAGCTCATGGTTGCATCTGTGTCACAGTGAGGGAAGAGCCCAAGAAGACTAGGAATTTGGTTGTATGAAGCCATCACCAACGGACACTGGAAGAGAGCACTTAAGACCATTCAGTGGGTGTAACCCACTAACTAACCCAGTGATGAACCAGTCCATGTTCGTGGCCTTCAGTGGTCATGTTCTGCTGCAGCTTGTGGGTCTGTCAGATCAGAGCTTAGACTGAATCTCTGTCCAGCTGTTTTTTAAGTGACAGTACTTTTTGGACAGGTTACCAACTACCATACCATATGATTCTTGGGAATTCGTTCTAGTTTCAACTACACTAATACTGTTTGTCTCTCCTTGTTCTAAATTGCCATGTACTGCAGCTGGGATTCAGAATTGCGTGAAAGAGTCCTTAACTATGCTCCAATTAGTCAGCAGAGGTCGTTAGTCTGGAAATCAGATGATTTTTGTAAGTGACTTTGAATTCCTCAGATGAAAGTATTATATAACAAATTTAACATGTTTATTATTATTAAAGTAAAAAAGGAGTTTCTCAAACTTTCAATTAGAAATAATAGAATATAGGAGTAAGTATTATTCTGACTGGAGATTTGTGAATAGAATTTAAAACAGGATTTTCAAAAGCATTATCCTGTAGCCAGTTCTATTCCCACTGAAATCCTAATAATCAGTAAAAGTGAGGGGAACTTATTTTGAATGTTTTGATACTCTCAACTGAAAAAGTTTATTACTAATCATTTTTATACCTTGAACAGAATTATATCTATTTATTATAACCCCTAGAATTGAAAGTGACGTCTAATTATTTTTTTATTTAGTAACCATTCACATAGAATTGAAAAAAATCTGAAGTAATCACTAAACTATATCACTCAACAATATGCATCAGACACTCCCCAAATACATCATGAGTATTTGGTTATGTCTGCTTTAGTGCAGCCAAGGTCTGACTGCAACTCACGTGGGAATGGCCAAACTATGCACTAGGCAGTTTGTGTTGTGACAGCATTGATACCAAAAACCTCAATGCAGGCTATAAATTTGTGCTGAAAAGCTAGATGGATACTTCAGTACTTAGTTCCCGTTAAGCTCTGTATAGTTTTATCTACGTTATTATTAATACCTGAAGTACCTCTTCCAAAGCCAGCACAAATACATTTAGAAAAGCTGCAGTAACACCTTTGTAGTGCAGAAATGCTTTAAACAAGTTTAGCAGATTTCAGTGGGTTTGTCTTCTAGTGCATTCTTCTACCAAAAAAGAAAAAAAAAGAAAGGAAAAAAAAAAAAGAAAAAAAAGAGAGACAACAGGGAAGAAATTGTTTTAAAAAATATAGCAAAATGTGGCTCCTTTGGACAAACATAAGGGAGAACACTTAGACTGAGGGTATACCAACAGAGAATCTCCTGTCTGAGAAGATACTGACCTGGGTGCTAATTCCCATTCCAAAGACATTAATGTTTTGACCTGTGCAGGATGCTTGAAGATGTTCCACTTTGAATTATAATGGTAAAAGACAGAAACTTACTGTGGTATTATTAGAAGGTAGACAAGGCCAAATAAGGCAGCTAGAATTAGCGAGAGAACTACAGCACTGGTGAAGTACTCATCCTGAAGCTGGTGATACTGTTAAAGAAAGGAAGAAATGAAGACAGTGAGCATTTTATACACACCCAGCCACGCTTGTCCATTCTCAGTAAGAAAGAACTAGAGCCTAAAATAAAACAAGCCCCTACCCACTTTATAAACATACAAATAATCATTGCTTAATGAAAAAAAAAGGTGAGGCAAGTCTACAAAACATTCTCCTTGACAGCCTTCTGTTTCAGCTGCTCCTGTTGACTAGCTGTTTAGTTTTCAACCTGTAACTAGTCAAATCTGGGTTAGGCTCAGACATAACTTTATCTTTTGGAGCAAAATGGATTCAGCGATTTCTGAACCAGAAGGAGGTGGCACTCGCTTCTCTCCACCTACTCATCACAAAAAAAGGCCAAAACCTCCTTGGTGCTGCCTTTAAGGAGTCCTGTCACCTCACCTGCTCAGGACAGGACACTAATGGGTGGGCTGGAGGCAGCTGCTTATGAGACACACGGGCTCAGTTTTGAGCAATTACTGTCCCTGATTCCACTAAGCCACAGTCCTTACAACAGACACTTTTCAGGGAAATGCATGATTGTTTTCTCAGAAAGATCCAAGTTTCAATCTCATTTACACCAAAAGACTTTCTTATTTTGAAAGAAAACAATGACAATTAAATAGTAAATCAATGTGGAAACTTGAGAACTTAAAAAAATTGAGTCCAATGTGGCACACAGCCTTCTGACTTGAAACAGCAGTGACATGTACAAAGTGACTTACAGTTGAAAAATAAACACTACTGCCACATTAATCCAAAATCATATCACTTTTGCTTTTTCAAACACATAAACCAAAGGCTTTTTTTTTTTCCAATTAAAACAATTTGTATTTACAAACAAACCCCATACGAGGTAGGAACAAAGAGCTCTACTTTGTTAGCTTATATGCTTGCTTGTAAGTCTGGAATAAGTCTGCTGCTTTCAGCACAGTCACACTGGCATAAGATCACAACCTTGCCCAGAGATTTATGATATTTTAATATTTTCTAGGACTGATGGGCTCAATACTTATCAGCCTACATAAGCAGAGGGAAGCATCCTCCTGTCATTAACACTTCTCCAGAGCAGATGAGTCACTTGGCAGCCACATTGCCATGAGACAGCATTAAACAGGTGATGGAGGTCAGGCAGTTTGGAGAAGCAAAAGGAACGCCAAAACACAGGATGTGTAACTCTATGGGGGAGGATCTTGATGAGTAGAAAGATACTGATCTTTCTTTTTATCCCTTCCAAGTGCTTCCACAGAAGGTGGAGAGATTTAAAGATAGGGAGTAGAATTTAAATATTGTCTAAAACCAAACAAAAAAACAATGCTAGTTGGCTCATGGTTAGCGAAATCAGTAAAAACAATTTAAAAATCCCTTACTTTATTTTCACGCTCAATTTGTTTATACTTCAGGGTAATGAAGTTCAAGTCAGCCATCTCAGACTCAGTTTGCCGGGCCTCTATCAAACGGCTGATGTATCTGTTTACTCGAGTTCCTGGAGTGTTGTATACAACATTGGTAGAAAAAGAGGAACGATTCCTGAGTTTTTCAGAGGCTGTCCTTAATGCTCTCCTCTGTAGGACAGATGAAGAAAGAAGCACAGATTTTATTAACATTGAAATTTTTCATTGCTGTTCATATTATCTCAAGCTCACAGACAGGATGAGGAATCCATTAAGCAGAGCAACTACAAAAGACAGAGATCTTATCTCTGTGTGATTGCCATCTTTCAAAAACTCCCTAGCTGAAATCCCGATCTCATTAAAATCAATGAGAAAACCCCCACTGCATTCCAGGATTTCAATCCTCATCCACAGAAATTCTCTTCACATACTGCCCTGACACTTCTCTGCAACTGAGGAACTCATCAGTTTGATCCCAACCAGTGTGACTTTACCTAGAAGAATAATTAGAATTTTTTTCTTGATGGAAGACAGGGAGCTCTGGACATCCTGAACACAAGACAACCAGGCTCTTTATGATACAGGAAAAGTCCTACTATCCAAGACTGTCTAGGTAACAATACACACTTTGAAGAGATAATTTTCCTTAACTTCTTGCACAATGACCATATGTGAACTTCAAAGGGTCTGAAATATCAAGTGTTCCTATCTTTAACTCACCCAAGTGGCTCTCTTGTTAAGACCTCTTGGGTATGCCTTAAGTGCACTTGCAGATCCAGATGGAGCAGTCCAATAGATTACCAGAGCTCACCTGTGCCTAACTGGGGTTAATTCCTCTCTGCCTGAGATAGCACAACTGACAAGATGATCACTCATAGTCCTTCTCGGTGAAAAAGATTTATCACAGAGCGCACCTGAAAGGGATTTTAGACAATCTGTCTCACTTTTCACAGCGAGCACTCAGAAGACGGTGAGCAGCGTCTCAGCCACACTGGCGGTAACCTTCAGGTGAGGGCACTGTAACCCAACCATTACGGCTAGATCTGCACTAGTATGACTGCCCGTGCCCCAGCATGCTGAAAGGATCTGGGCCTTCACAAAATACTCTTGTAGAAGCGCATTTTTTAAACACAGAGTGAGAAAGATGTAGGCCAATCTTGTAAAAGAAAAAACAGTTACCTAATGGTTAGCACATTGAGCAGGAAGAAAGAGACATCAATTGAATATCCTTTTCACCTCAAAAGGGGTCAAGCCTTACTTCCCAGAATAGTTTTGACAGCCAAGCTCAGGCAAGTTGTACTATTTTTATACAGTTAAAGGAGTATTTTTTTACCTAACATCTGCAGAGTTCAGGAAGACAATTCAAAACATTATGAAATGACAAGTCTGCTCAGGGATAAGGACAATGTTGGCTCAGGATATAATCAGCAGAGTCTGTCAGCAAGCTGTTACAAAAGCACACTAAATTTTTCTCTTCAGAGCAGTCAGTACTTAATAGCCCACTCTTTAAAGGCTATACTACAAAATATCCTTTTAAACCAGATGGTAGAAAGAGGTGGTGACCGCCATTTAAGTAATTCTGCAGGAATGGCAGTTTCCTGTCTTGTTCCACAAGAAGTAGTTCTCGTGAGATCCTCATCAGTGAACACAGTGGACTACAGCAGTTCATTAGCTTACAGACAGCTTACATTAGCTTATGTTATATGTGTATTATACCTGAATATTTATGAACAGTGGGAAGGGTTAACTGCTGACTGACACTTCAGTTTTCTGACCATAAAGAAGAATGGACCTTAGCAAGGATGAAATAACTTTCCAAGTTCTGTTTTTCTGGCTTTATATGTAGAGGGCAGGTTATACCAGCATTAAACAATTATGAGGCTACTTGAAGCATTTTTCTTCAAACTATCAGATCCCATTACTTGTTGTCTGTGGTGTAAGAACTAATTGTTTCAACATGAAAAGTAATCTTGTGGACATATATGGATTAGAGCTTTGACATCCAATCTTCTGGGTTCTTTTAGCTATAACAGAAATCTTAAATTGCCAGTCAAACAACTATTCTAAATGCTTCTGAACAGAGATGAAGTTGTTCTCTTGCAGAAGACATTTGTCCCAAAAGTTTGTAAGGAAACTGAGTGCTTTCAGGAGTATTTTGGGGAATATACAATTTTGCTCTTCATAAAGCTAAAGAACAATTAGTTAGCATATGTATTGCTTAAGGTGCAGCAGAAAGTACATCTTTAGGGATTTTTTATAATCCAAATTTAAACCTATAGTATAATAATAGAGGTGTACAAAACAGCATTAAAAAAAAAAGAAAATACTTCTTTGCTTCAAAATCTGGAATGAGGGTAGACAATTGGAGTTATTCTGACAGATGGAATAAATTATATTATCTATTCTGCCGCTTTGAAATAGGGTTAAAGTTACTGTGTTTAATCAAAATAGCTGTTGCTCACATATAATTATTTTCACTAGGTCTCTTATTTTTATCTCTATTATTATTTCACACAGTAGACTTACATTATGTCTTATATGCAATCAAGATCCAGTATTTATATTTCTCAGAAATTAAATAAACAAACACATGGTACAGTAATGTGCTGGCTTCAGAGCCTTTATAGCCATAGCTTGTTTTACATGATTTGAGGACCGATATCTCTGAAGAAACCCTACATTGCCACACAGCGTATTTGTATTAAAATCATATATCATGCTCCATGATAAATGTTACGTATTAGGTACAAAAGCTCAGAACAACTGGTTCAGTTAAAGATAGCATTGTCAAACTTCACTGTAAATGTTCTGACATGAGAAAATTTTCATTGGATCCCTAGCAAACCCATATCAGGATTTTCTGCATATACTACCATATTTATACATACATATACACAAGACAGATGGTAAAGCATTGCACATGCTTCAAAGAATGTGTTAGTTACTTTTTTTAAATACTCAAAGAACAGTACTAATTCACAATTGGAAGGCTTTGTATGTGGCCAATTTCAAAATCAAATATGGAGTTTCTGCAAGTCTTCACTGAAACTGTATTTTAAAGGAACTAACAGACTTTTCTCCCCTTTTCCCGCAGAATAAACACAAGCACATGTAAAATCCAAAATATAAAAGTTAGAATGCTTTCTGAAAGTTAAGATTTAGCATGAATCTTCAATAAATGTTCATTATTTAAAAAAAAAAAAAAAAGGGTGGAGTATTCAGTCAAGATGAACGACTGATTCCAATGCCCACATGCCCTGCTTTGGAGCACTGGTGGAGTGACCTATGTAATATTGCCACCTGCTGGCAAAGAAAATGGAATGAGCAACTCGAAAAGTTTTTTCTCCATGAACTTCTGGGTAGATCCACATGCAGAAAAGGAAGTAAACCAGTATGTAAAGCAATTTTGAGTTATGGCATTACAAGCCATTCAAGAAAGTGGTATTCGTATTTTTATTAGAGACTTTTGTATTTAGGATTTGTATTAGGGATTAAGAGTTTTTTTGGCTAATCAGTTGCCCTTCATTTTTTAGAAAACCATCCAGAGATACAAAATTATTCTGTTATTTTGCATTTGCTGCCATCAGCTTCAGCCTGTGATGGATTCATGACGCAAAAAACCTGCTCTTGGTAATTGCAGAAAAAGCCTCAGAAACTCTAATTCCCTTGAAGGAAGCCCTTAATAGAAGCCACATAGGCCACCTGTGCTTGTTCAAGAGGAGCTCCAAATTTGAGGCCTGTTATAATTAAATTTTGTCTTTACTGTCAGAAGGCTGTGGGCATTAGAAAGCTCTAGCTCCAGCAGGAACACCAGGAACTCCTCTATTGGTTGGTCAGGTCACCCCATATGTTCTCAGAGCAAGTCTGCTTGTGCAGCCCTGGAACCGATGCCCAAAGAGCCCTCATGGATTACCTTATCATCATCCTCACACGTCATGACATTGGAGAAAGGGATCTCTGCTTTGAACATCTTACGACAGTGCATGAGCTGAACAAGCAGGTAGCAGACTGTCTTGAACTTCATTCTTTTGGCAGGCTTAATGTCTGAGAGAATCAGTCCAGGAAATATCTGTTGGTCAGAAAAATAGTATTTATTCCCATGCAGACATAAGATACCTGCAGACATTTACACTGTCTAGTGGTCAGAACAAAGCAATATTCTAATCAAGAAGCAATGCATTTTGATAAAGATCGTGTATTTGCAGATGAAGATTACTTCATCTTTTTTTAACCTGAGATATGAAGAATCTATTGAACAGACAGTATTTAAACACACACTTAACATTTCAGGAACTGTTTTCTACTTAGAAATGTAGAGCATAAAAAAAAATTTATTAACGACAAACTCATAAAAGAGGCAATATTTGTATTTCTTTAACCTTAAAATAAATTCTGGAAAAATACAGGAAAAAATAAGGAGAAAATTAGCGTTTTTATTAATTGATGTTAAAAAAATATAATTTCAGTCTTTTTCTTATTTCCTCATTTTGTTGCTTCAGCCACTGGTAAGCCCATTAAAATCAGAAAAGGATAGCTTTTGCTTTAAAGCAAAATACACTTGTATACATGCCCTAAAAGGAGACTGTGAGGCACTGAAATTACACTTTACATCTTATTTCTCCAAAGCAACAACTGTTATAACACAGAGAAATATCCTCAAAGGGTTGGGTATAATCTTTTCCTTTTACCATCGAGCTCCCCATTCAGCAAGGACAAATATTTTCTTGGTTAACTCTTAAGCATGTATTTAACTCTTGCTGACTTTAATAAACCCCTAGCACATGTTCAGACGCTTTCACAGATCAGAATAAGAGTGATCCTTTATTCTACCCTCAGTATTTATACCAGTCTTATTCATGCTTCTGGCATGTGGAATGTGTAAAGCAGTGTTCATGGGCAATGTGGAAGGACCCCATGCCACCACAGTATGGGAATTTCAGCTTGTGAAATTAGTCTTTTCTGGAACAGCAAAACAAAGAAGCACAGAGGATTTGGTCCCTAGTGTTCCTAGGTACAAAAGACAGAGCAAATCACACTCCAAAAACTTTATTCAAATGCTCTAAACCCCACAAATGGCACTGCAGATTTGCTGTCTAGTCTTCACAATACTATGATTTACTACAGCACTTTACATCATTACTTCAATGATCAAGGAATGAAGAGGGAAGTAAACTGGAAGTATTTGTTTAATGCATGTTTTCATGGATACCTAAATTTAGAGAGACAAGGCAAATGACACTGTTTATATTCCAAATGGCATCTCAGGTATTGGTTTGCTGTGCTGTTTAACACATACAGCTATGCACTTGCATTTTCTGGAGAATCAAGGGTATATCCTATTGATCTACCACTACTCTGTTTAGTCAGTTACACTGTGGCTATGAAACACAAAAATGACTTGTGTATAAAAAGTTGCACATTTTCTATTAGCAGATGGCTATGTTATAAGCACGTGACATGTTTCAAATGTGGAAAGCTGCCCAGGTCTGCACATGTGCAGTTTATTGTGCCCTGAAAGGCTGGCTCAAGCCAGCTAGCGTCACCAGCACTGTACTGCACGGTCAACAGCTGGAATCTAAAACGACACTAGTGTACCTAGTGTCTAACCACTTGTATAAGTGATAGTTTAACAAAAGTCTCCATGAACAGATTCACAATATGATCTCTTTCTTTTGAGGGCTTTCTGGCAGAAGACTTACTGCTGTATTGCAATAACCACATAGAAGATACTGTACAAGGATATTCACATACTAATCATCCCTTAGGTATTCCTAAGGACACCAAGTAGATAGTTGTTAGGCCTATGTATGGCAGATACGATCAGCTTTTGAGCTACCATTCCCAACAGTTAAAACATACTTATTGGACAGGTACTCCACTTAAAAATTTTCCTCATGTAGCCATAATTCCTCTAGAAGTACCATGTATTTTACTCAGCCTCCCTATCAACCTTTTGATACAACAAAAATGAGCAACTTTCTTGGAACTCCCTCCAGTTTTGAATTTTGCTTCATTTTTTTCAAGACACAGAGATAAAAAGGGAATACACAGAAGTGTACAGGTGGACCGTATCTCAAGAGATCATTAGCTCTTCCTTTGCTCAAACCTTTCACTGTGGACATTGCCTTAACTAGGTCAACAACTTCAGTTTTAGGTCTCTATTAGGTTGGCTGGAAAAGACGCTCTTAAATAAGTACAGAGAGCTCCAGAAGCTGCCTGACAGCCTTCATTATGGAAATGTCACAGTAAAGGTGCAAGAGTGGCAAAGAATAAGTAGAACATCTTACTAGCAAAAGATTCAAGAAGGCATAACCGAGAAAGGTAAGCACATGGGCGTGACTATATCCTCCTACAAGGATTTGAAGTCCTGTGAAAAGAGAAGAATTTAGACTTTCCTCGCTGCAAACTTCTTATAACAGATGCATTTCGGAGAACAACCTGCAACTTGAAAACTTGGAAGTTTGGCTCAGGCAGTGTGGTCCTGTCACCAACACAGCTTTTCCTCAAACACATACTTTCATGCAGTTTCCTGACTATATCTTCAAAGAAGTAGGTAGAACATTTTTAGCTCATACCATTGACTGCTCTTTTTGTTTATAAATCTTATCAGCAGATAGCGTATCAATTGTATACACCGTTTGTATGTTGGAAATACAGGGGTGTTTTCTAGCTGTCTGGATGTCAAATAGAAGTCACCGAAAAAAATGGAGTAGTGTGTTTACTTCTGGGCTCCCCAGTACAAGAAAAACAGTGACAAACTGGAGCGAGTTCAGCAAAGATTCACCAAAACAATTAGGGTTCCAAAGCATACGATATATGAGAAGAACCCGAGGGAATTCAGTTAATTTAGCTGGAGGAAGAGAAGGCTAAGGAGGGACCTAATTGCTGCCTTCAGCCACCTAAGTAGCAGTCAGAGAGAAGACGGAGCTAGATGCATCCCAAAAATGCTCAGAAAAAGCCAAAGAGGCAATGGACATAGGCTGGACCAAGGGAAATTCCCATCTGATACAAAGAACAGGAGTTTTAACTGTGAGGAGGATCATGCGCTGGAGCAGGCTGCCCAGAGGGGCTGCCACATCTCCAGCTGGGGAAACACTCAGCACTCGCTCAGACGAATTGCCCTGAGCAACCTGCAGTTTCCAACGTGGATCGAGCTGCAAAGCTGGCCTTGCTTTGAGAAGGGAGGTCAGCCATGTGACCTCCAAAGGCCCCTTCCAAATTCAGCTACTGCGCGATGCTATGAAAACGTGTGGAACACATATAGCTACAGCTCTTCGTGGCTGGCCAAGAACCTAACCGCTCAAAGGACACTGCAATACACGCATCAGGCACACTGGCAGTTCTCAGATCATGTATAATTTTATATATAGCTTTTTCTTTTTTTTTTTTTATTCTGGTGGTTGCAGGACATACAGATTCTGCACTGGGACTGAGGATTTTCCATTCTACTATTATATATACACAACATCAAAAATACAAACAAAGGAATTCTCTCCCACATTCATCTCACAAATCATGTCCCTTTTTTATTATTACTTTTACAGCAGAACAACACTTTTGACACAGTGTACTTCTGAGTGGAATATTCAGGTAATCTCACTGTCTGCTGTAAGCCTCTGATAAAGGCAAGAAATGCTGTACAGTCTGTTAAAACAGACTTTAAAAAAAAAGCAAACAAAAAACGCAAGCCCAATGTCTTTCAATCTGCCTTTTCTCTGAACTCACCCCAGGCCAGCATTACAGGAAAGCTGGACTGCAGCATTCTCATTCCAGCTCATTTTGTCAATGTATTTTACTTTCACACTTCTTTTTGACCCTCGGGATCATCTCTTATTCGTTCACTGTTCTTTTGCTTCATAATTTTAAGGTGGTGGTTTGCTGCAACACAGCTGGCAAAGAAGGTTAAGAGCTGGGATCTTCTAAGAGAGCACTCTGAAAGCAGCCAGACTATCTAGAGCTTAGTGAGTGTCTTTAAGTATGCAGAAAACAAACTAGCGCTGATTAGAATTCTGGGAAAACACCCCAGTGTTTGAATCTCATGTAAGGGATTCACTGGTGCTTATCTGGGACTCTCAGAAACAGCAGCAGACTGTTCCCCTGACTATATTCAATCTTAGTGCTTAAAATGGCATGGGAAAGAAGATACTAATGACATTCAAAACACATTTACAGAAACCATAAATGCTGTAGCACTATGTCTGTCTGTGCTTGCTGTCTTCAGGTGGGCAGGACCATGCCTCTTGGTAGTAGTGTTTGCTCTATTACTATCTGCAAGCCATCTTGTCCTGAGATAGGTGAGCAAATTTTTTTTTTTTCTTACAGTTAATAGCATCAGACATTGGCTGTTTCATCCTTTTCCATGGCCCTTACGATATATTTTGCTTATCACACCTCAGCTGTCTGTCAGGAAAGTATATTGGTAATTTTTACCAGTAAATAATAGATTCTATTAAGACAAACCCTTAACATTCAGAATGTTGTGGCCACTTTCTTGACATAGATGTAGAAAGTTTTTAGCAGCTGTGAAGACTAAAACAATCTCTAGGAGATCAATAACAGAGAAAATCTTATACCAGTGCCCTACATTTCTCCCATCTACAGATTCCACGTTTCTGGAAGAAGAAAAAGAAGGGAGGAGGACAATGTTAGAACACATAACTAATTCCACCATCACTGACAGGCCGAGCTGCGGGCTGTCACATTGACGATGATGCACTAGCAGCTTCACAGCAACGGCAGAAACAATCCTGAGGATGTAGAGCAACACACTCTGCAACACAAGCATCATTCCTCTGTCTGTGTTTGCTGGGTGGTAACACAATCAGTCTACTTCCAGTGTCAGGGTGTGTATATTCCAACAACTTGAGCAAGGCAAAGTCTCAGGCACAGATCAGTCCCTGCCCAGATACAAGCTAGAACTTCCCTCGAGAGGCTGTGTGTTTATCTGTTCAATCAGATCTGCTGAGGTATGTCGAAGGTGTTAAAACCTGAAATGCCCAAGTTATGCATCCAGATCTCTAGTTAAGGTTCCTCTGTAGGAGCTTTCAGCCACGGAGAGCAAAGACCACC